CTGGACCGAGCTGGGACCATCTGGGTCCAGATGGTCTCAACTGGACCGATCTGGACCGAGCTGGTCCCAGACAACCCCAGCTGGACTGAGTTGGTCCCAGCCAGTCCCAGCTGGACCCATCAGGACTGAGCTGGTCCCAGCCAGTCCCAGCTGGACTGAGCTGGATCCGGCTGGACTGGGTTGGTCCAAGCTAGTCTCAGCTCGGCTGAACTGGACCCAACCAGACCCAGCTGGACTGAGCTGGTCTTATCTGGACTGAGCTGGTCCCAGTTGGACCCAGTTGGACCCAGTTGGACACAGCCGGTCCCAGTTGGTCCCAACTGGACCCAACTGGACCCATTAGGACTGAGTTGGACCCAACCAGACCCAGCTGGACCCAGGTGGACTGAGCTGGATCCGGCTGGACTGAGCTGGTCCCATCAGGACTGAGCTGGACCCAGTTGGACCCATTAGGACCGAGCTGGACCAGCCAGGATTGAGCTGGACCCATCAGGACTGAGCTGGTCCCAGTTGGACCTGGATGGACTAATCTGGATCCGGCTGGACCAATCAGGACTGAGCTGGACCTAGTTGGACACAGTTGGTCCCATCAGGACCAAGCTGGACCCAACCAGAGCCATCTGGACTGAGCTGGACCTATTAGGACCTGTCAGGACTGAGCTGGACCTAGTTGGACACAGTTGGTCCCAGGTGGACTGAGTTGGACCCAACCAGAGCCATCTGGACTGAGCTGGTTCCAGATAGTCCCATCAGGACTGAGCTGGTCCCAGCTGGTCCCAACTGGACCCAACTGGACCCATCAGGACTGAGCTGGTCCCAGCCAGTCCCAGCTGGACCCAGGTGGACTGAGCTGGATCCGGCTGGACTGAGTTGGACCCAACCAGACCCAGCTGGACTGAGCTGGTTTTATCTGGACTGAGCTGGACCTAGTTGGACACAGTTGGTCCCATCAGGACCAAGCTGGACCCAACCAGAGCCATCTGGACTGAGCTGGTTCCAGATAGTCCCATCAGGACTGGGCTGGTCCCAATTGGACCTGTCAGGACTGAGCTGGACCAATCAGGACTGAGCTGGACCTAGTTGGACACAGTTGGTCCCATCAGGACCAAGCTGGACCCAGTTGGACCTGGATGGACTAAGCTGGATCCGGCTGGACTGAGCTGGTTACAGATGCTCCCAACCGGTCCCAGGTGGACTGAGCTGTACCCTGCTTGTCCCAGTTGGTCCCAACTGGATCCATCAGGACTGAGCTGGTCCCTGGGACCCGGGTGGACCTGTTAGGACTCAGCTGGACCCAGTTGGTCCCAACTGGACCGAGCTGGGACCATCTGGGTCCAGATGGTCTCAACTGGACC